AGATGACGGCCAACCAGCTCCACCAATCAGCAACCTGAGTCCACTTTGACATTTTGCCCAATTTGATGCTGGTGTGTTAAAATGATTTCCTTATTTGTCAAACTTTGCATAATGCTCGACATTCCTCATTTTAGTGAAGAAACTACTCCTTGTAAGAGTTGTCATAAAACAACTACAACTTGTTTCACGTAATTTTAGGACTTTGTTGTCTTAATATTATCACTTTATTCTAAAATTATTCTCGATGTGACTTTTTACTCGTAATTTTGTGACTGTTACTCCTCCAGAGATAATGGTTTTAACAGCCATTTATTGTGGACACGTCTTATAAAGCCCTCAAAAATGCCGTCAGAACTAAGAAGGGAAACAGAAACCCAAATTAGCTCAAAACAAATATAAAGTTTTACACAAATAAATATAAGTAAAACAACGTTGTACCTCATTGGCCGCATAAACTCCAGAGGAATAAAGATAACTTATACAGCTTTTCTCAGAAAACTAGTCTTATAGCTTTCTGGTGAAACTTCTTGAAAAACAGGTGCAAAAAAGAATTGTGTCAATCAATCTTTCCCATGGAAAACAACATAGGTTCCTGCTTACATTTTAATGAGCTTTTTTAACCAATGTACATAAACACAAATTTACTAAAAGTTATTTATTCATTTATGATTGAACTTTTAATTTTAATAGTATTATGTATATATCAACTGTTGTTTTTAACTAAATATTAGAATATTTAAATGAGTCGACTGTGATGGCAGCTACAGTGACTTTATTCTCGTAGTTTTACAACTTTATTCTCGTAAATTTATGACTATTTTTATTGCGACATTATTGACATAATTATATGGGTTTATTCTCCTAATGTTACAACTTTATTCCCGATATCAAAGAAAAAAATCTCTAGCCTGGCCCGAATGCTCCATCGTAGGCCAGTGGCTGGAAGTTGGAGTGGATTTTGCTGCCATTCAGCTGGCTTTTGACTGGGAAGGGTTGAATGGCTACTACTACTGTACCACTTATCCTTTCTTCATCACTTACTGCTGGTCTGTCCTAAAGAAATTAGAGAGTTTTTTTCTTTTTGATGTGGTAAAATCCAACTCAATAATTTGTATGAGTTGCCTATTGCTTTGTAACCCACTGCTTTGTGGTTCTTTTAAAGTTTGGATCTAACGTATAATTTTTTCCACAAATCTTGTCCTCCATAAGTAACTCAGCAGTAGTTTTTCATGGAGTCCCACACAAACCTGACAGTCTTCTGATATGAAAGTAGTCTCACCTGGTACACCTGGTGCCCCTGGACTTCCTTTGGTCCCTACACCATCCTCTCCCTTGTCTCCTTTGTCTCCCTTTTGCCCGGCTTCACCTGGACAATGAAGCAACACAGAGTACAAAGACACGAATGCTTAGATGATTTAAAGACGCCAACAGCTTGTTGCTGTTCATGACTGGCAATGTATACATTTGCAGAGGCCTCTCCTTCTATATGCAGTTTATTGAAAAGCAAAAGAGAAAAGGAATCAGTACATTCTGAGATCAACTGCAGCCTGAGTCAGTAGCTTGTTTCATTTGCAAGGCAGTTTATTGGAAGTAAAGAGGTTATGAATTAATGTTTACCTTTTTGTCCAGGCGCACCTGGAAGCCCATAAAAGCCTGGGTGGCCTTTGGGACCCATTGGACCTGGAATGCCCACTGCTCCTGTTTCTCCAGCTGGTCCAGGAGGTCCTGGAGGTCCTGCTGGTCCGGGTGTACCAGGAGCACCTATGGCTGCTGGTCTCTTCAAGAATTCTTTCATAAATTCCTCCAATTGTTCTACATGGACAAGGAACAAAATATCACAGCTAAGCATGGTATCTTCTTTCTATGCTAGGAGTGAGGATATACAAGTGGAGGTAATTTTAAATCAAATTAATCTAACCTTCAACAACCGCGGAGCACATTTCTCGAAGCTTTTCATCATTCACTTTTGGGCCCTGTGAAAGAGTGTTAATAAAGACATAGCAATAAGTTTTACAAAGAGTTCTAATAGCATTTCTGTTGCAGAAAAGTAATTTTTCTAAGTCAAGTTTAAAGTCTTTGAGGGATAAAAGTATTTAAGAGTTAAGTAGAGGTCAGGTCTTTAGTCTTTGGCCCCAGTTCTTTAAGAGTAAGCCTAATTTTACTATGTTGCCTCAAAGCCAAGCCGGTTTGTCTCTGCCCCTGCCTCTATCCCAGGGGTCTGCAACCTTTCATATCCAAAGAGCCGTTTTGCCCAGAGTATGACCAAATAAAAGTTTTTTAAAGCCGCAAAATATACCATGACTTTTTTTTTTTAAAACTTTTTTTTTTAATCTTGTATAGGAAATTAGTTGTTGCCATCTCAAACAATCAATTCATATATTTTTAATGTTAAAACGTATAATTTTCAAGCTATTTC